GGTGTGGTTGTAATCCATCCATCTTTTCTTCCATCTGCTTTGACCACGTGAGCACTGACACAAGAAATTCTTGTGAATCTTGGGAAGGGAAATTAAACAGTTGGGGAATGAGGCCAGGAGGTTAGCTTTGATGCCGGGCCTATCCCCTTTCTCGTCAAGAAACTTCAGATGGGGTGCATGTGAACACGTGAAGACACAGTATCAAAGTATAAGCGATGTGCAGGAAACCAAGGGACATTCAAGCCAAAACAACTACAGAACATCTGGTACAAGTTGTGCATTTTACTTTAATTCTTTATCATTGGGGGTTATGGGAAGAGGAAAATAGATCTATTTAGAAGTCCTTCCCGCGGTGGGGATATGGAGAGAGGAACGGCACTAGTTTTTATGGAGGAATGAACAAGAACTCATTTCCCTGGGAATTTCTATGTGCTAGACCTTACACACTCTGACAAGCTTTATCCCAAAATAAAACCGAACAATGGTACTACTTAAATTCAACCAACGGCTCTCCATGTACAAAGATCATACCTGTTCATCAGTGGAACCCTAACCAATTTGGTTTTTAGGGATATAGTAGTTTCAACGCATGAGTTCTGGATCAGAATCGGTGGCTTCAAATCCTCACTTTGCAACTTTCTTGACATGGATTTTGAGGAATGTCTTTCTCTATATGCCACATTGTTTCCATTTGTAAAATAAGAATGAGGATATAGCATTGACTGCCTGTGAGGATTAAGTAGGTACTATCATAAGTATAAAGCACTGAAGGTAGGCCAGTGGCTGGCACATAGCAAGGATTCAGTAGACACCACCTAGTATTATTACTCTAATACTACAGTCTGGGAGTTGATTTTGGAAGATCAAGAATCTTATCCATGAGCATACAGATAGCAAGTGGCAGGATTGGACATTGGATCCTGATTCATTCTCCTATTTTTAAAATACACGTTGCATTTAATGGCCTATGATTAACATGGAGGAGAAAGATGAAAGGCATATTGCCTGCTCTTAAGACAATGTCCTGGTCTCTTCTTTCTTGAAGCAGAAGAGAACCCATGTCCTAAGATGCTATGGAAGAAAGAGTATTGGCCTCTATCTTACCTAGCACTTATTAGCCTTTACCCAAGAAATTCAGAAAGTATTCACTGAATATGTTCAAAAGTATTTGAAGACTTTCACCAGAGCTTCCAAAAGGTTACACTGAACAACGACTAAAATAGCATTAGTTGGTAGGTTTCAATTTGGGGAAATAGCAAATTCCAAAATACCCCACTGTATTGGGATAAGTAAATAATAGAATCATAGGTATTTTTACAAACTGAAGGTCGCTTGGTTAGATGAAAGGAAAATAATAACAGGGAGAGGGGCTAGTTTGGAATGGAGGAACCGTTGCAAGAACAAAGAAAAGGAGGTAAACAGAAATTTTCTCTTTATATAAGTCTGACTACATCACTCTCTCCCCAACACAATTAGGTGATTTCCATTGCCTAAAGGGTAAAATCCAAGATGCTTAAAAGGGACTGCAAGGCCTTCCAGGAAGTGAGCTTGCCTACCTCATTCCTATCTGTCTCCCACTCCTTCCTGTCAATGCTTGAGACACGCTCAACTGCTCAGCCCCACACTCTGATTCCACACGAGTCATTGTTCATCCGTTTCCACCACTTGCTATTCCTTTGAAATCAGTTTTTCTCCAGGCTGAGTTCTACTCATTCTTTAAATCTTAACTCAGGCTCATCCCTTCCAGGAAGACTTGGCCGATGGGGTTAGAAGTTCGTTCTCACCCACATGGCAGCTTCATCCCTGCTCTTATTTCGTCATCCAAACGCAACCCTCTGTTTCTTTTTTCCCACACCACCTCTTCATTTGGGTTTTTAGACTCTTTCCTGGTAATTTGTCCTAACTTCCCTTTTTGAGGTAATGATCGGAGACTGCGTCTCTCTTGTTGTAAACAGCAGATCTCCGTGGCAGTGAGCAGAGCCAGGATCTACATTTCCTCACACATGTAGAAACTAATAGTGTCCCCTCGTCACTCCTTATTGCCCCGAACCCCTTACCTGAACACAAGCATTTATCTTGGAAGATGAGATTTAGAAGGCGAGAGACTGCTTCCTTTTTTAAATCATTCAAAATGATGTTCTTTTGTCTTTATTATTATCAGGAGATCTCCAAAAATCCCCGAAACATGAAGGTGCCGCATACTGAACTAAGCAGGCATCTCACTGTCCTGATTTTGGCTCAGTTTGTCTACATGCAAACTTTCTAGGGATTCACCATCGAGTTTATTTTCCATAGACGATTCTCCCGTGGGTTAGAAACACACTGATTGCCAATTAATATCCTTAGACTTGGAACAAGAGGTCGATTTGGGGACTCACAGAAATCATAGACTTACTGAGTTTTACATTTATAAAGTGATGGAGTTGCAAAAGCTTACAATTTTCCACTTCCAGCCAAATGTAAATTCTCTGTGAGCAACAATGACATCACCTCCTTCTCCCTCCTTCTCTCCCTCCTCCTCCTCCTCCTCTTCCCTTCTCTTGCTCCTTTTTACATCTCATATTGCCTCTGTGGGTGCCCAAAGGTTTTAGAGATAAAGGATTTTGCCATTCCTTTATCCTTAGGACAGCTTTCATGTACATGTACTCAAATAACATTCTCATTTCTATGGATTTATTTTCACATAAGAAAGAGGTTTACCTGACCATCTTCTATTCATTGTTAAAGATTCAGGGGCACCTGGGTGGCTCAGTTGGTTAAGTGTCCATATCTTGATTTTGACTCAGGTCATGATCTCACAGTTCATGAGTTTGAGCCCTATGTCAGGCTCTGCACTGGCAGTAGAGAGCTTGCTTGGGATTCTCTCTCTCTCTCTCTCTCTCTCTCTCTCTCTCTCTCTGCCTCTCTCCTGCTCATGCTCTCTCTCTGTCTCTCTCAAAATAAACAAAAAAAATTCAACTCATATTTCAGCTACACCAGAAAGCCATTTCTGAAGCCACACTTCAATGAAGTACCCTCATCCATGTTCTTTACAGCGGCATGTGGTGTGGTGATGAAAAGCACAGCTTCCAAATTCCACCTACATGGGTTCAAATCATGGATTTTCCCCTTTGGTCAAGATATTTAAGTTCTCTGGCCTTAGTTTGCTCATCTAAAAAAATAACAGATGAATGATGATAATAATAGTGTAACAGTTCCCTCTTAGGAGATGTATAAATTCAACATGCTTAACGGATATAAATATAATCTTTTATTACATATACCATATTGATGTTTATATAGTAAGTTATGTATTTGTATCAGTTTCTTAAATTAGAGCTTCTAGGACAGTGCTAGCCAACTGAAATGTAATGTGAGCCAAAAATTTGAGTCATATATATTAATTTTTTAGTAGCCGCATTTAAAAAAGTAAAATAAAGAGGTAAATTAATTTAGCAATATATTGAAACACAATACACCCAGAATAGTATTTCAAAAAGTAATCAAAATAAGCAATTAACATTTAATGTATTTTTTATTCTAGAAATCTGGTGTGTACATTGTACTTTTGGCACATTACAATATGGGCCCATCACATTTCAAATGCTAAGTTTTCACATGTGCCTAGTGGCTACTGTATTATGCACATGGTATCTACACACGTGTGCACATGTGTGTTTACCCAGGCCTAAAGGACAGGGACCACGCCACTCCATTTCTTTGTACTGCCAGCACAGAAAAAGAGGTCTTGTGGTAGAGAAGTACTTAAATACATATTTTTAATGATATGCTAAAATAATAAAACTTGAGAATAGGAGAGAATTTCATAAATATTAAGGATATGGATAGATTTAAATAAGGAAACACAGTGATTTGTGATCAACATATTGATGTATGGTTTCCATAAACTTAGAAATAAGAAACATTCTGGTGCATGTATAGTATTTTCCAGTAGAGGGCAGAGATCTAACCTGTAACTAGACAGTGACTGTTTAATGGTATAAGATAGCTTTTTCAGAGTGGTTTATTCATACCTAAACTTGAGAAAGAAAAAAACAGTGTGGTTTCTCACAAGCAAATGATTTCATGGCACTGACTGCCCAAACAACTTAGCCAATGGGTGTACAGGGGAGGGATAGAGCTGTATTTCTTTCTCTTTCTGGTTTAAGCTGTCTTAATAAATATCTAATTATTTAATAGATGGACTACTATATGTAGGGTTCACAAACTCCAATAGGATAGAAGTTCACACAGGAAGTTGATAAGTCTGCCCACATCCTTTTACTTAGAGATCATTTTTTAAGAGACCATTTCATGTGTTGTTCTCTAAATTCCATAAATAGTTTGACATAAACCACCTTGTCAGTGCCTCGGTATTGGCAAAGGATTTCTCAATTTCCACCGCTTTCTCCTATTTTCTACTCTCTCTTATTGTTCTTTGGCATTCCTTATAAAAGCACACAGAGGAAAATGAAAAATATATGGTATTCATATTTTATTTTATTTTGTTTTTAAATATTTTATTTATTTTTGAGAGACAGTGCAAGTTGGGGAAGGGCAGAGAGAGGGAGACAGGGGGTCCGAAGCGGCTCTGCGCGGACAGCAGCAAGCATCAGAGCCTGATGCGGGGTTCAAACTAACGAACCTTGAGATCCTGACCTGAACCAAAGTTGGATGTTCAACTGACTGAGCCACCCAGGCGCCCCTATGGGATTCATATTTTAAAGTTCCAAGACTTTTCTGGAACAAGCAGGCCACACCTTATGCATTTACATGAGTGTTGTTTCCCAAATTAGTCCTTCTAGAAAGCATTTTACATATTTTCACAGTATTGTTCTGATAAAGATATTTTTGTGACTTCTAATGGCACTGATTTCAGTCAGATTTCAAGCAACTCCAAAATACCAGTGATTTCATTAGTATGCCTTATTTTCTTTTCAAAACACTGCATTACTTTGTTAATAACACATATTCATTCACGACACGAAAGTGTGGATAACTTTTGCCTGTTTTCAAAATAATATTCACCTACAAAGAGAATTATTTTTCAAAGTTTTTAAAGGAAGTTCCTAAGAGATGTTGAGCAATCACAGTATTATTAGAATAAACCTTCAGTCTCCCAAAGGAACTATTCTGAATATGATCTCTTGCTTATGGTTCATGTGTCACCATACAAAATTTAGACTCACCTCCAAGTAACTTCAAGGTACAAGATACTCTGCAGATAATCTTCTTATTTGCAACTCGATACTGTCTTCTGACAAAACCTATGAAAAGTATATGACACAGAGAATGGAACCATAATATTTCATATACTGTTACCACATAATTTCTACACTGCTCATAACAGCAGAACTTGCTAGACTGTGAGGTCTTACATCAAGACTGAGTTCACCTCAATCTACCTGCAAATCCTCTCCTGCCTGGCTCTGTGAAGATGGCCTATATGTACCTCTACCCACTCTATTTCCACCCAAGCAAGAGCTTATTTTTGTATATTTCTTGTTCAGTTCAGTTCAAAATCCATTGCCTGAGCGCTCACTCTGCCAACTGGGACTCCAAACATGAATGTGATACTGTCCTTGAGCTCATGGAGCTTAAAGTTAGTTAAGGAGCCAGACACTTAAAGGGTTCATTTTAATTTCTCATAGTATTATGGTGGAGGGAGGCAGTAGTTTTTGTGAGAGGAGGTTATTTACTCACCAAATACTGATTATACATGCACTATGGGGCAAGTACTGATAACATGAGATGTCTGGATGGAGTTTAGCTCCTAGTTAAGGCTTACAGAGAAGTGGGACATGTTGCAGATCTTAGTCACCAAGGAGAAAAGAACTCATATGATTCCCCAGAGTTTTCTCAGTTTGGATTGATGTACATTTTACAAAAAGCCTTGTGTCTCTGAAAATTGCTGTTTCTCCTGGTCCAAAGTTCTTGTGAACAGTTTAAACTGCCAAGTAATTCCATATTGTATTCATTGGATACTGACCTCTTTTGCTCTGCCTGTTCTTTTTCCCCTCATCCTGCTGCACATGGTTCTATTTTGCTCATTTACATACCTGAATCCTACGCTCATCTAGTGCACAAAGATTCTTACAAGTGAGCTTTGACTTTTGTGGACCTTTGACCTTTATAGACTACATGCGTCAGCATACAAATGGCATTCTGTGTATGGGGAAGGAATATTAAAATTGTTTTCTGGCTGTTTGGCTATGAGTGTATCCCTCACAACCCAGAGATACAAATGGTCCTGTCTACATATGATTTTGCTTTCAAGAAGCACAATTTACATGGGGTGCCTGGGTGGCTCAGTTGGTTGAGCATCTGATTCTTGATTTCAGCTCAGCTCATGACCCCAGGGTCGTAGGATTGAGCCCCATGTCGGGCTCTGCTCTGAGCATGGAACCTGCTTAAGATTCTCTCTCTCTTCTCCCTCCGCCCCTCTACTCTGCTTACACGCACTTTCTCTCTCTCTCTCTCTCTCTCTCTCTCTCTCTCTCTCTCAAATAAAAAAAAGCACAATTTATAAGCTAAAACCAAAAAAGGGCAAAAGAAATTCCAGGCACTACTTGTGTTCCTTGTGAGAAATTAAAACATATCTAATCCACAACCTCAGCAATGTTTCTCACATCTCATTTTGTTTTCCATCCACATTGTCACCCACAACACTTAAGAGACTCTCATTTATGACCCTCCTCACAACAACTACAGTCAGTATTTCTCTTCTAGTAAAAGCAACTTTTATTCTATCTCCAACTCTGGCTGCTCTTCCCTTCCCCCTACAGATCATACAGATTGACATAACCTTCCATCCACTGTTTTACTCATTTTTCAGCCTTGTTGGCTTTTACTCTGACTGCACGCACCATAAAAGAGTAACAGCTTGACTAACCAAGATTGAATCTTCTGGGTTAACGAGAGGGTTTGTGGGTTAGCAATAAGAGACCTCTCTTTTGAGGGCTAGAGTAGTCAAAAAGTTTGCAAATACTCCCATATTATTAATGTTCTTTCTTTATATGTGCATATTTATAGCTCTTACACACAATGAGATGAAACATTTTCTTAATCCAAAGTAAACTGAATCTAAGTTCTTCAAGCAAGCCATTGATTTCATGGTGGTTTTATATTAATAAACTCAGTGTAACTAGGTCTTATACTTTATTTACAGCTCCCATTGCCATAAATTGATGTCCAAAGGCTTCGAATCTTGTTTTTATTAAAATTAAAATCTGATGCTCTAGGAATGGGAGTTGTTAGATGTGGCTTTGCCCCCAACAATGCTTTCCAAATAATCTGTTGCAAATGTTGAAATAGGGTACCAGGGAGTAGTGTTCTGTAAGAATTTGGGCAATACAGATCTGTGTCTTGAATAACAAATCAGGACAATGACATGTACCGCTGGCTCCTATAGTCTTTAAGCTTCCTGATCTTCAGAAAAGGCTCTGGCTGTGTTTCAAGTTGGAAAGAGCCAGAAGGAAGAAAAACAAGTCCTCTTGTTGACTTGAACTTTGGTTTGTTTTCTAGGAAATGTGTTGTGTTATTTCACATTTTGCTTCATTTTCTCCCCTAATTTCCAAAACAACTATACTATAGTTTAAACCATAATTTGATGATGCTCTTGTGCTTTTTTCCTTTTTATTTGTATTAACTTGGTGACCCTTAATGGCTTCTAAGATACAGAGAAAGAACTTCATCTCATGCTTGTCAAGTAGAGTTCCTAGATATACAGTGACTCCTCAGAAAATATACAAAGATGGAAAATTCTGAGGGAAGTAAACTAGAATGAATTGAGGGCTTCCTATGTTCCAGGTATTGTGGTTGTTATTTTGATGCATTAATCTTCACTGGAACCTCACAACAATGCACTGAAATCATTTTATTCTTATTTTTTTAATGAAGCTCTTGATATTCAGAGACTATTTTTATTTGTCTGATATTATACCCCTAGTAAGTAGCACATTTGGGACTTTTGCATTTTTCCTGCTTTACTTTTAATTTCATGAAATACTTTGCCTATCTTCATGTATTTATTCATGAAAAATATATTTATTTTAAAATGTTGGAGCAAATAAAATAAAATAAAGTAAAATGTTGGAGTCAGTTGAGTACAGATAGGAACAAATTTTTACAATTACTGCCCTCAGACCTGTTGTGTGAGTTTTCTGCTCCCTGCCTCTGATAGTCACCTGCCTCAGGTAGTCACAGCTACTCAATCTCATCTTCAGTTTCCAATGAAACTCTGAGTTTCAAAATTTCTCCATCTCCCAGGTCAGACTGACCTTCAACTTCCACCGTTGAACAGTGGGAAAAGGGAATATGGTCTGTGCTTCATCTCCCACCCATCCACTTGCTTGCTCTTCCTGTCCTCCTTCAACCCCAGGGATGCTTCTGGATTCTCCAGGTTTAGGAAAGTAAAAATGGATGGAAGGATTGTACTGGTTTTGTTCTCCCTTAACGATTCAATGCCTTCTGTGTGCCAGATGCCAAAGATTCAGATGGCGGTGAAGACTGCAAAACGGGATAGTTCGTTAGATTGTTTTATTATAAAGAAAGACCTAGTTACTATGACCTTTTATTTAGAAAAGTCTGGAGAATAAATGTGAAATGACCCAGTTGAGAAATGGATTACAGTAGTAAGAAGGGAAAGTAATAAAGGAGGATTTCAATGGAGAAGACATTCAGAGAATTAGAATTGGTGAAAACACTCAAGTGAACTAAAAAAAAAAAAAAAGATTTATGAAATCCATGTAAGCATAGTGATACAAATAAAATGGAGAAGACATGTGAAGTCAATTCTGGGTTGACAAAAGAGATAAAGGAGATACAGACTGAAAGACCATCTGTCTTTCATTTCCCAAGTACATGTTCATTGAAATTCTCATTCACAACATATGACGATTTGATGCAGGATTCTGTAATTGCTCAGACTCTATAAAGAGTTTTGGAATCAAGAAATAATAGGCAAACTCACAATGGGGCTTGTGTGTTGAAGGGTAAGGAAGGAATATGAAGAAAAATAATGAATATGTGCTTTCCTTTAGAAAAAATATATAGTAAGGTTTACAAACCTATGGAAATTTAGTTTCTGAAGAGAGCTTCCCAATTTCCCATCACACTGAAGTTTAGGTAACTTTTCCTTTGAGAGCATCAGCATGTCAATTGCTTATTGTGTTGTGGCTTATTGTGTGGTCTACTTGCTTCTTGGAATCAGACCTGAAAACTTTTATCTCTGATCATATTTATCCAAAAATTATTCTTGAGTGGCTTCAGGTTTCACTGTAAGTGTTCACATAAGGAGTGTAAGTGGTATTTTTCTAGTGATTGTAAAGAACATCATGAAAAATTAAATTTCTAAAAAACTGTTTATAACAGAGTATCTGTTTAGGTACCAGAGCCTGTGGCAGCAGAAAGGCTCACAAACTACAGTGTGAATATACTGCACTAATCTTGTTTTTTAAATTATTCAGATTTAAATATATCATAATTTTTAGATATCAATCCTCAGCCTTTGTGCTTTAAGTTTCAATAATAATAACAATAACAATAACAATCAGAATCAGAATCCATTGACTTTTTTCTCCAGTAGTTCAAAGGACATTAGTTGCCTTAAACATGAAATGCTCATTTACAGACATTCTCTCTCTCTCTCTCTTTTTCTTTCTCTCTCACACCCACCCCCCCAACACACACACACACACACACACACACACACACACACACACTCACACACACTCGCATAACACACTACTGTTCACATCTCTGTAACTGCTATGTAGGGACTGTCTTATCCCACAATATAATAATCTTTAGGACACTTTCTAAATAAGAAAGTCTTCCCAAATGCGTATATTTGAAAACAAGTATACATTCTCAATACCTGGCCAGGGACAGAATTAAGTCACAATATGAGGCAGTAGGGGGTGTGTTGGTCCTGTTAAGGGAGGAAGGGGACTATATGCCAAAAGAGTTGCAGAATGTAGCCAGTATGCACCAGCAGGAGTTGGGGGAGGACAACAGGAGTAGATTCTGAGGATGTTTAATCAGGGGCTGGAATGTAAGATCGAATAAGAGAGATTTTGTCAATTTGAGAACACTCTCCTGATACGCAGAATTTAACGTCTTGGCAAAAATATCAGGAGATGACTCCTGATGACTCCTAGAAGAACGGAGAGAACTATATTCAGAATTGCTGTCGCAGATGATGGAAGATCGTATCGATATTCTCAAAGATGTGGACATGCCAAAGTGGACATTCCATGTAAGGCTG